TTATTTTATTTTATTTTATTTTATTTTATTTTATTTTATTTTATTTTTTATCACAGGGATATATTGCAACAAGGCTGTTTGCACGACATGCTTGTTTCATCATGAAAATTGATAGAGCTTCCATCCCCGAGCTGCAAGAGATTGGACGCCAGGCTTTTGAGAGACAGGTAATTTTGTAGAAAAAGTCATTCTGTATACAAAAAAATGTCTACTGTGTGCAAGCTACAGGGCTCTAAGAAGACCTGCTGTTCTTAGGAATGCCTACTAGTGGTTAGCCATGATGGAACAGATCTGACAAAATAAAACTTCAAGGAAATATCACACAGAACATGTCAATATTTTGGGTTTGACATCATTTGAAATAGTTTCATTTGCAGAACAGAATTCAGAAATCAATTTACTTTGACTGAACTGTGATTTTTCTGGCACAACTTATGACAGTCCAACAGTAGCACATTTGCTATTGCACTTCTTATGGCACCCTTATGGACTGGGAGGATTAATGTATTTGGAAACTGCTTGACTATGCAGTCAATTAACAATTTATTAAGTATCAATACAACTCAGCTTAACTGTATTGATAGAAATAGTATCTAGTGAAATTTGTTTCTGAACAGGTTGGAAAAAATATTTTAAAAATGTATTCCTTAGCTAAAGCTTTGTATGAGACAAAGATATTAGATTTAGGGATTTTTCTCAAAGGGTACCTCAGACACATGAAACCAAAGTTAGGCTACTAATGACATCTACTATTTTCTTCTTAGACTATGAGGAAAATTTATTCTCCACGAGTTATGTGGGTACAGTTTCAACCTGGTAATGCCATGTTTGGGAGCATCAGAGAGTGGCTTCGCTATGGTAAACCCATTGAGCAACTCTGCAAGGGTCTACCTCTCTACAAGCTTACAAGGAGTGAACGTAAGTAGGAAAAAGAAAACATTTTTGCCTTTAAAACTAAGTTCATATGGCAACTTTGAGAGGCAGGGACATATTGTCCCATTTTGGAGAGGGGGAGTAAACTGCTTGGCAAAATTGAAAGAGTAAGGCTCCAGGATGCTTTGGAAAATCTATTAAAGCATGTTTTGCCATCATTTGGCATCTGAATATCTAGTACAGCTGTTCCAAAGTGGTTTGTCTAGTGTCACAGAGGACTCAGTTGTATCCAATGGTATGTATGGTGGTCCCACAGTGATACCTGCTGAATACTGTGACTGGAAATGAGGATCCCAAAGATGATTTAAAGCCATATAAATGGCTTAAATTCCTTTCTTTGTGTTACACCATAAAAATTTTCTACAGTGTTCACTGAGACCAGCAGGAGACTTGAACAATGACTAGGGATTGTGTTTATGTGTTTAACAGACTCTTCCTTGGTGGACACAGGAATCTCGTCACTGAAAATATTTTCATTTTTTTGTTTTTGTTTTAGCACTGACTAATTCCAACGGCTGTGCCAGTGCAGGAATTCCATCCATTTTGGGCTTTAACATCTGTGAGAAACTCAGAGAGAACTACTGATCTGGACAGTCCTTCTGCTTGGAAGTGGCTCATTTCTCTATGTGCTTCTCTGATGGTACACATGTTCTTAAAATGGAAGAAAACAAAATCAATTTACCTGTCCTGAGCTTTGGAAGCAACAAACATATGCTCTACAAATAAAGATAATGTAGTAATTCAAATGCTTTGTCTTCTTTCTTCATTTGAAAGTGGAACAGAACTAGGACTTCCTAGAGATTTTCCTCCAGAAAAGATGTGTTTTGCTTTGGTGCATTTGTACACTTAGGCTGTGACATGACATAGGCAATGGGTCATGCTAATGGAGAAAAAGAATGGGTTTTCCATTGAAGATCTTTCCGTTGACACCAGCACCCATGGTCTTCAGGGACTGACTCATATATGTTTGCTAGTGGGAAGGAGAGAGGGACTGAGGAAACAAGAAAATGAATGGATAGAAAAAGGGAGGGAGTAAATATTTGTTATCAATTGTCACGGGAATACTTCATAGTAATTTTAATTAGATTTGATTTGAACTTTATTGTTAGAGAAGCATCTGAAACAAAGGCCCAGGGAGGTGTTCCAGAACTGTGGAGTACTGAGGGACATGGTCAGTGGGCATGGTGGGATGGGTTGGGGATGGACTTGGGGATTGCAGAGGTCTTTTCCAACCTTCGTGATTCCATGGTTCTGTGATATCTCTGGAGCTGATTAAAATACAAGATGAAGCAACACTGGTGATGTCTGTGTGCTTTTCCTGTGAATCTCAGCAAATGGTTGAGATCACATATGCATGCTTGGTGTGTATTTTGGGGTGGAAGACTGAATATCTGTAGTTTATTGCAGCCTTGTTGCCAAATGGCAAGGTATCCCTTTGGAGTCCAGGAAGCTAGCCTCAGGTCCATGATTTATTATTTTCGAATCAGGCTCATGGTCAAGCCATCTGCCATGTATTAAAAGAGCATTTCATCACCTTATGGTAAAACTATTCTTTTGGATTAATCACAATTGCCCACAGGTTCTTTGTGATCCAGATAATGTTTGTGGAGAGTCAAACTTCAATAATTAAATCCAAAATTATTTATGTGTATCTCCAAGATAAGGGATAGGTTCTGTTTGGAAGTGACATTCACTGGTGGGAAGTGGAAGTGGAACTTGAAGTTGTGATGTTCTTGGCTGATGCACAGGAGGCACAAAACACCTCAAAGCACTCTTTGATAGCACTGCTTATCAAGAGTGTTCACGTGGGTTTTGACCTTCAAAACTTTTCTCGGTGTTGCAAGTTTCTGAGAGAATATTCTTTAAAAACGAAGGCCTTAAAAAACTAAATTGGAAGCCATAATCTTCTTTCCATGTGACATCCACCACATTTCAACCCCTTCCTTGTGTTTCTGTTACAGGGCACGAAAGTCATCACAAACCCCTCCGAGTCAGATGAGCTCTGCAAATGTAGAAAATAATTGCTTTAATTATCTCATGCTGTGTATAACTTTGCATTATTTCTCTACAGATGGTGACCTGGCATCAACTACACCTGAGACTGATGTAGATCCCAAAGGAACAAACTGACAGATCATTCGGAGAGGCAAATCTTATTATTCTATGATTATATTCTATAAATAATATATGTAAATGCTAAATTACAAACAATTCTATCATTAAGTTGTTAAAAAAGAATTAGAACTAGTCAGTGCAGTTTGGTTTTCTGTCTAACTGCAGTACTGATGGCTGAACATTTTGTGCAGTGTAGTGATGCTCCTTTGACACTGCTCCTGTTGCTAATAGTATAACTGAAATTAGTGGCTTTAAAGCAACCCTCTGTGTACTACCCTTGTATTGATTAAAGGAGGATGTTCTCAGACATGTAAATGAGGTCTGGTTACAACAACAAAGTGGTTATACAAAGTCGTAAGAGATGCAGGGCCAAAGAATAAGAGCAATGCTCTGGGAAGTCCTATTCTTCTCTTGTGTAATTGATTACAGATGCTGAACGCTTTTCTAAATGGGCAAAATAAAGGATGATTTGCTGCCTTTGTATTACTGATGAGAAAGTGAAGGACAATCTATCCTGTGCAATTTAGACCTTGAATGTAATCCTATTGGCACCACTAAAATATAATTGATTTCAAAGATCATACAAGAAATGGCTGAGAGGAGAGGAAATTAATTCAGAGTTTGGTAACCGTAACCACAGGACAAACAGAAATGTACACCCACTTCTGAACGAAAGCGAAAAAAAGGACAGATGCATGAGAAAAAGATGTTGATATTATATCTTTTTGATACTGTAGTTGGCCCATGCTGTTTCCTGCTGACTGTGCCACCATTTGCCACCATTTGCCATATGCTCTGTGTACCCATTTTATACTACAATTAATCTGTTTTCACAATTTTACAGGATGATGGATGTTGTTGCTGGAGTACAGCAGAAGACTAATAAGTAAAAGCAACAAGAGATGAAGTATCCCTGAGATATATATGGTCCATTGGTTGCCTTAAACAACCTTAATCTGAAACTGTTTTTGACCTTTAAACCCACAGCCTGACAGCAAAGTTCTGAAGTGAATGTATAATCTGATGGAAAATTAAAACTTTCTTTTTACTATGCACTTAATTTAAGCACGTGTTCTAAATATTATGCAGCATCTGCTATCACAGTTTGTTGGATGTCATCTATTGAAAGGATTTTTTTATATTGTGAATTCTAAGACGTTTGTCCGGAATGGATGGAAAATTCCCACTGCTTTCCATGAAAGGAACCCATAGAGCACAAAACCCATTGAAGTTCCTAAGTGGAGAGCAGCCAGCAACCACCCTCGGAAACAATGGGAAAGTTACGTTCACAGTCAACAAAGGAGAGTGCTACTGCCAAAGGTTAATGTGCAGAGTTGATTGTGCGTGAGGCTGACTAGCCTTAAGCATAAGATAAACGCCTGGAAAACAGCACAAGTGTTTGGCATATCTGTGTGAGAATATGTAAAGGGCTCTGGTGATCCGACCAGGACTGGAACCCAGATCTACCATGAAAATGAGGAAAGGAGACAGTGCACAAGCTTAGATGCTAATATTGGTAGAAGGAGACTAGAAAAGAAGAGTATGGTGCAATGAGTCTAGAGAAGACTATTGTGATGTGACTCTTACCATCTCAAAAGTTATCAAATCTATCCAAGAGCTTTACATCTAGTCTCTTCCTATAAAAGGTGTAGAATATATGTAGAAGTAAATGCATTGGGAGTATTCCTGGGCCAGTGTGAGTCTGCATGTGCATGCACATTGTCAGCATTTATGTGTTAAAACAGCATTTATCCTAGGTTAAAATATCTAATAATCCTGATTATTCGCTTCCAGCTTTTTAAAAGCTGAAAAAGTTTTCAAAGGCATGCCTGGAATCTGAGCAATGGTATCATTGGATACACACTGACAGGCAGCTAAAATACGTGAAGCATTTGGGGATGGCAGAATTAGCACACATTCCAGTCACATCCCCATGTCTGCTGCAATTAACCTTTCTTGATCCTTTATATCAAGTGGGCAGGAAGCATCTCTGGTTCCTCACTGCCAAGGACACCAGTTTATCTGGTCACCTGTGCTGCACATTATGGTTTTTTTAACACTGAACTCATTTAATAGAGAACTTCCACGCCGTAAGTAGTACACAAGACTTCTCAAGGTCAATCTGTGGCCATTTTAAAATCAGAGATTAACCCAGAAACTCCTACTCCTGTGAGCAATACCACTGAAATGAAAGAGACTGCTAAAATGAGCATTGACAGATTTTCCTGTAGATATTGTCAATTATAGGAGTTGGACTTAATGATGTTTATGGGTCCCTTCCAGCTTGGGACAGTCTATGATTTTATATGAGAAAATACCTTCCATTTTGTATCAAGCAACAAAGAGGAATAGCTATCACCACCAAATTCCGCTTTATAGGACTGAATTCTCTTGAAGTCATATAGGCTGAAGAATTAAGCCCATTACTTGAAACAAGAATTGTGCTGTCTGGGCCAGCAAGCCAAGGATGTGAATCTAATTGCCCTCATTTTCCTGAGTCTTCCCACTCTTTTAGTACTAATGATGCACAGTAGTGGGGAAAAAAACCTCAACAAAGCAACATGGCAACATCCATATGCAAGAATGAAAGAGGAGTTATCTCACTAAAGGGAATGTATGTGCTCAGAATCAAGGTCCTAATTTTATGGACTCAGATCTTAAATTATTGGCCAAAGAGGAGGTGAGTTTGGTTTTCCAAGGTTTTCCATTTTGTTTAAGGAAATATCTCAGCCAATGGGCCACAACAGATACTCCAAGGCATGTAGCCCAATCTTGATGGTCCATTGTAATGCTAATTAACAGGCATGTTAACTGAATTATTATTGAATACCAGGAGTTTTCTTCTTGCTTTCTTCTTCAGATAAGAGCTGAATGTGATTTTTGTTGACCACTAGATGGCAAATCGTTACAGCAATCTCAATTCTTATGCTTTTTTGTCTGTATTTCAGTGGGAGTCCAGCTTGTTAGTAAGTGAGACCTTGATCTGATTGAGCTATTGAAAACAATAATGGGGTGCAAACCACAACACAAAAATAAAATAAAATGAATTCCTATCTCATAATATTAGTTATTAAATCTCTTTAATATATGTATGCGTATTCCTTTCTCTTATAAAGCATTACAGTTGCAGAGGTTCATTAATCAGATTTCAAATCATTATAGAAATACAAGTAGCAAAGTTTGACACCGTTTGAATTGAATCCTTCCTGTTTCAGAAAAGGGATACAGCAACAAACGAAAGATAAATCACACCAATAGCATCCTGACCATGACCACAGGTAAGGAGGGAAACCCCAGAACTCCCACATCCTCCTTATCCCCCTTGTTTGTTGGATAGAGAAGCGGATGTATCACACAGATACACTGACCCAACGGTGGTAGCCACCAACCTTTGCATCCCACGCATAGGAAGAAGGGGCTGTTTTCACATAAGGACACTCCTTGATTGAGAAATCTGCCCTCAGCGCTCTGGGAGGTGTTTGACAGTGTCACATTAAGTGGTGCCCCTGGGTGCAATGCACTGAGAGCTGAGCCAGAGCACTCTGCCACTCGTTCCTGATAAGCAGAGCCCTTTAACACTAGGGACTGCAAGGGGCTTGTTCCATGCTCTCAATGAGATAAGCTGCCATCC